CGCGACTGCGTCGCGTTCGAGTTGCCAAATTTATTCGACGGGGTCGAGGAGCAAGGTCTGTCCTTACCTGTCGGACCCTTTCTCCCCGATCTCTCGTTCCTACCTCTGCGGTCGTTCTTTCCACTTGTTGCCCTCTGATAATTACCCGCTCACAGCTGAGCCGGCGCGGCTGGTGTCTTAGGCGTCCTATGATTATAGGGGCAATTTTGTCCCGTTTCGGGGCAATTCTTCCTTTTTTTCACGCATTTGCAAGTCGTCTCACCTTTCGTCCGTCCGCGTGGTGTCTCATCTGTAGGCAATCCCAGTCTGTGCTGTTGCTGCCGTGGCGGAGGCCCGTCGCCCACCGCCAGCGCCCTCACTCAGTCCACCTGCAAGGCGAGCCGGCGAGCCTGCCTGTTTCTGGGATTGAGGGTTGGTTCATGTTCAGATATTGCCCACTTTCCTCGATCACGCATCATAAGCGACTCGACCTGGTACAACAGCCACTGGTAAGAGCGCATTCCTGTGCCTGGAGGATCTGTCGACAACTCATACCATTGCATTGAATAGTCAAGCCTCGGAACGTGTTTGATTTGTTCGTAGAAGTGCGCATGTATCGAGGCCTTCATGTGTCATCAGACGGTTCCCTGGCGCCATGCAGCTCTTGGCATCGCCCCATCCATTCGCTGTAGAAGTGGTGCAAATCTTGGTTGGGCTTCCGTCGACCAATCGTTATTTTAAACAAGTCGCGACATATCCAGCGTTGTCCGCTTTGGACCTGACAGAGCACCAAACAGATATGGCCCGAATGATTTCTCGGCCCGTGAGAAGACGTCCCTCAATCTGGCAAGAGTGCTCGATGCAGTTGATTTGCGAGAGGAAATGAGTGCGTTGATCTCACAGGTTGCGGTTACGTTTCATCTTGGCAAATTTTCAAGTAGGTTTGTGGCGATCATCATGTCAAGACGCATCAACGCTCCGGAGTCCCGAAGGCTTTCTTTCGGGACCTCAGGTTCCATTGCTTCAGTAATCCACTCTTGTGCCGTCTCAACATCATGCCAGGACCCGGCTACTGCTCTAATGCAATGTTGCCTCCATTCGCGTAGTGTCTGGGCACTCGGGATGTCTGGGAGGTCTAGCTCTTAATTGTTTCCAAAACTTCTCCAAGTCGCATCCATTGGATTGGCATTGAACGGTATCGCATCTGGGTCGCGGTGACCATCCGGCCCTCCACCGCCATCCCGTCTGGGTCACCTCCGCCTCCAGGTCCCCCAGGGGGTCCCTTGGATGTCTTTGGCTTCCCCGTCTCGTCAAATTGTATTGCTAAAATCATGCTGGTGCTGGGCGCTGTGCTTCGATCGTCTCTCTTGTCGTCGTCATGTCCGCCCGGTTCTCCGCCTCCTTCCTCACTCGCGGCTGTGTCGACGGTGAAAGGGGGGCGACCGGGCAGATCGAAATTGCCAGGGGGTCCCGAAATTTTAGTGATGAACGGGACATTCCCTGGGCTCTTTCCCCTGACGTACTCTTGCATCGAACCTTCATTAGTATCAAGAGACTTCTCAACAGCCGGCCCTGGAACGAAATGTGACTTCGCGTGAGGAAGCTCGGGTGCAGACGGAGCTGTCAATAGAGCATTTGATCAAAATCTGGTCTGGTCGATTTGAATATCGGCATACCCATCGCACCAGCGAGATTGCTTACTCGTCTTTCCGACCCACCGTCTTTCGGCATTTCCGAGTGACTCGGTGCCGTCTTTTCGGGGTCGTCATTGCTACGGGGAGGGTCGTGCGTGCCTAGTGGTTCTTATCTCGAGATCGTCTTGTCGCCCGAACTGTTCATTCCAGGCGCGCTCCGTGCATCTTTTGGTAATCGTGCCCAGATGATCCCTGCGCGTGGGCTTCAAACGCCTCGCGCAAATCTCAATGAAAGGTCCAGAACGTTCGTGTTGCCTGTTGTGCTGACCTGTGTTGCCTGTTCGTGTCTGAGCCTGCTTGTCGTCGTTCTTACGCGCAGGGCGAGCAGCAGTCGGGTGCGGAGGCGGTTCAACATGCATCGGCTGTGCCGGCGTCGCTCCCAACCGCTCAGTTGAGCCCGCATCTGCCGGCGAAGCCGTAGACGCAACCTCAGCTCTCGTCGGAACTTCTGTCGGATTTGGCCCCGTTGTCCGAAGCCATTCCCGCGACTCCCTGTCTTTGCGTTGCTGTTCCAGGTCAGATCTTAGCCTCCTGTTCTCTTCGCTTACTGCACGAGCGGCAAAACCATTATTTTTTATTTGCTCATCCGCTTGCCCTTTCAGATGGTCCCAGGCAGCGGCCATTCTCCTTTGGTTCTCATTCCTAATTGCCTGAGCCTTATGCTCATGTTCTCGAAGGGCTCGTGGCGCTTCCGATATTATTTTTTTCCGCCTCGAGTCTAGCGGATTCAAGTTGATGACGGGGCTCCTGATTTTCACGTGCTGCTTGCTCTCAAGCCTCTTTCTCACTTTCTCGGTTTGCTGATAAGAAGCTGGCACCATTTGTTCTGCCATATGTTTAATATCTCTTTTCTCGTTCTCCTCGTGCGCAAGACGTCGCTGGGCCGCGTCAGTGATTCCTGCTACACGGGCTTCTGCTTGCTGTGTCCGTCTCTGCGCATCTTCCGCAATGGCAACTCTCTTGTTCGATGTTTTGTGCCACTGCCTGTCTCTCTGCTATTCTGCTAGCGTCCGTTGGGCTTCGTCAGCGGCTCTCTCCTCAACTTGTGCCTCGAGGATAATTTGCTGTATTTGTGCGCTCGCGGCTCTCAGTTGCTCTCGATCCTGCCTTTTTTTCTCTTCCCACTCCTGAATGGCTATGCAGCGGCAATTGTGTTCCTCCAGCTCAATGCTTTTTTCCGCGGAGCCATGCAACGCTGCACTTGGGGCATACGTTCGAACAGCACGAGCATGCTGGCCTCAGACACGCCCCCCCCCCCCCCGGTTTGCGCGCCTTCCCCGGACATCGGTTCTCCGCCCGCGGCGGGCATTTAGGTCTTGCGTTCCAGCAGCTATCTCTTATCGAGAAGCTACTGGTAGTCCTATTTGATGATCGCCGAGGTGACTCAAGGGCATTGAATCCTCTGGAACTAGAGCGTCCGGCCCTGGGTGCCTTCCCATGTCCCCTGCTGGAGGCAGGAGTATGCTGTTCCCTTGTTCTTACACCCTTATGGATGAAATCGACATCTTGTTTTTGAGCCAGCTCGTCTCTTTCGTCCTACATTACCAGCTCATCAAGTTCTGGCGCCCTGCCCCTGCTTGACCTCGTCAATGTGCAGTCTGGTCGGTGAAAGCCTTCCGGCAAAGGGGAAGCATTTAGGTTATCATCCTCATTCTTAGGCTTCTTTACTTGTGGTTGGGGTCGTTGCCGCAGGCTCTCTTGTATGCCTTACCGTGCCCAAACTTTCGGTCGGGCGAGTTCAACATCGGCTGGGCCGACGAACTCTTGCCTTGACCTGGGCTTCCGCCATCTCCAATATCTTCATCTGAATCGATAATAGCTTGTTGGAGTGCATCGACATAGTCAACTGTCTGGTTCTCAGACGGGCCTGCGCCTGGGGCGAGCCCGTCGGTCCCAGCAGTGAGGGGAGTATGGTGATGAGATGGGCTGGGCGAAGTATGAAATTCAGCGTACTCTTCATTTCTCTCAATCGAATGCGAGCTGTCCCTTTCAGATGGTAGATCGCTCTCTTCCTCGCCCTGATCATGAATCTCAAATTGCGCTGCTGTTCCCGTGCTACAGTTACCTTGATCTAACGTTTCTCTGGGCACCCGTTCCAGCAATTTCTCCATCTCATGGTCGAAGTCAATCGACGGTTGGGAACTCGGATGTGCCGGCACCAGTTTCGATGTCCCCCCGGTGGGAGTTTTGGTGGGAGTTTTGGCTATGCCATACTTCCCACCCGGGGTTTGTTCCCTTACTACTGTCATCGAATCGACTGGATAATCTCCTCCTGTTAAACGAACACAGTTTTCGACGCTTGCCTTGCTGGGGGGCGGAGAGAACTAGGTCGCCTCATAGAGGCGCCTGCATCACGAATACGCTCGGAACGATAACGGTCTTCTTTTCTTCCGAGCGATCCTTCTTGTGGCCCTGTGGCCCCATGCTCTGCGAAGCTAACGGCTGTGCCGCCGCTTCGGCTGATAACCATTCTTTTGCTTGAATTTGCACAATCCCTGCAAAATGTCCCAATGATGTCTCATGGTCAGTGGGCTTCGCCGATGACATGGGGGAGAAAGGATAATGCCGTCAAGCATGCCGTCAAGGATAATGCCGTCAAGCAGGCCGGCCCGCCGGCCGACGCGCGCGCGCTGCAGGCTCGCTCCTTTTCTGTTTCCCTAGAGCCAAACAGGTAAAACATTAAAGTCAATAAGAGAAGCAGACAGTGCAAGCAAGGCTAGAGAGCAGGACGGGCAGCAGGATGGTGGCGTAGAAGGAGTGCGTTGGTTTTTTGGATTTTCCCGAGTCTTTCGGAATGCCGGGAGTTCCCAGGGCGCCGATGACTTCTGGAAAGCTCCATGCGCTTCCGAAGGTCGTCGCGTTTGTGTCGCGACGTTGGCCCGCGGAGCTCTCGATCACACCCCGCGGGGCCGGCTTTTTGGGCTGGGTCGTTTTGTTCGACGGCCATGGGGACGCGCTTCCAAGGGCTCAGGCTACGAAGCAACAGCCGCCGGGGCGCTTTCGCGACGCCGGAGGTTTGGGCTCTCCTTCATCAGAACCGACCTGACAATTTTTTCTGGCTGAAATTTCGTAGGGGATCCAGCTTTTTGGTCCCCGAGTGATTCCACACGGGGCCGAAATCTTATCCTGGTCATCGTATGCCATTAGGTTTGCTCCCCCCACCGAGCCTCCCAAACCCCCAAAGGTCCCCAGGAACATTGGAGGCTATACGAGGTCCTTGTGCCCTTGTAGGTTTCTGGAACCTCGAAATGGGAAGACGTGAGAAACACTGTTCAGCACGTCGACAGACACGCTTCACTCCGCGATCCCAGGAGCCGCCTTGGCCGGATGGACCCGGATCAGGTGAAAGAGTATTTCCAGAAGGTGGACGCCAATGGCAGCGGCTCTCTGGACAGGCCGTCCGCTTTGCTGGCCCTCTCCGCTGCTCCGGGCATGAGGGCTGAGGGGGATTTCCGGCTGGAGTTTGGATGGAAGGGGAGGAAGATGAGGTGGAGGAGGATAATGAGGATGACGATCAGTGCGAACCCAAGGCGCGCCAACGATGCTGCAATAAACCCTCCCTCCAAAATCCCTCTTTATAGGTCCCCACAAAATTATTCCACTGCGGGCAGTGTCCCGATTGAGAACTTCCGTTTGCGAGCCCTCACCCGTGCCAGCAACAGTTTTTTGATTTCACCGCCACGAATCGACGTGGGTGGTACGTATTGGCGATATTTTACGGGGCCGTAATATTGTTTCTTGGGATATCACCGCCGCGAATCAATGTGACTGTTGCGCCCTGGTAATCTTAAATCGTGCCGGAACGCCATCTTGGGGACACCGACCATCAGAATCCGTTCAACGATTGTAAATTTAAGCTGCGAGTGCGCCCGGCGCTGAGGCGAAAACCATATTTTGAAATGGAACCGCGTTCCGTCTGGGACAGTCTTGCATTTTCATCGAACGAATGCGTTCGGCGGTAAGGTGAGACCACATTTTGCGAACGATCCACCCTCCATCCCTGAGGTTATTGCCCCTCCTTCTATTCCCAAAAGATTGCGTTGAAAAAAAAATTGAACTGCGGGGTGTTAAAACGGAAACCATATTTGAACACCACCCGCGTGCCAGCCGCGAGACTCATGGAAACTGTTGAGACGAATGTTCGCGGCGCTGGGTGAAACCAATGTGTGCGTCGCTGGGTCGGGCTTTTTGCGCTGTGAAAAGGAACCGCCTTCGAAGCGATGGCATGCTTGTGCAACGAAAGTTCGCGGCGGCAGTTTGAACAGTTTGAGCATCACCCGCCTTCCATCCGTGATATCCATCTTTTAAGATGAATGTTCGTTCTAAAGCGAAAGCTACATTTTGAAAAAGACCAGTTCTCCATTAGTGTTTTTTCCAATCTTAAGACGAATGCGCGCGGGACTAAAGCGAACGCCGCGTTTTTGAAATGACCCGCCTACCATCCGTGAGGTTCTTGCGAGTTTTTTGTTCAGACGACTGTGCGCAGCGTCACGACGATAACCACAGTTTGAAAAGGAGGTGCCCTCCCCCCGTGAAGATTTTGCAAACTCTGACAGCACATGCGCGCGGCGCACAGGCGAAAATCGCATTTTGAAAAGGACTCGCCCTCCATCCGCGAAAACCCTGCGAATTTTCAAGACGAATGTGCGCGGCGCTAATGCGAGAACCACATTGTGAAAATTACCCGCCCTTCATGTGTGAAGCTCTTGCAGCATTAAAGTTTCAGAACCACAAAGGGTGAGGACATCTCAACCGGTATGCCCTGTCAGCGCTTCTCGGAACGCGACCGGGAGGAGTTACTTACAAGAAACAGGAGTGGTGGACGATGCGGAGGGAGGGGGGGGGAAGGGATGGAGGAAAGGAGGGAAGGGTGGAGGGGTGGAGGGAGGGAGGAAGAGGTGCCAGAACACCATCCCTGGGACGCCAATAATAAGACACGTTCAGATGGTTGTACACTTTTGCTAACGTTTGTGCGCCGCGCAAAGGCGAACACATTTTGAACAAGAGCCGCCTTCCAAACGTGACTTTCGCATACTTTCAAGACGAACGTGCGCGGCGCTAGGGCGAGAGCCATATCTTGAAAACGACGCGTCGTCAATCCGTGAATATTCAGATGTTTCAAGACAAGTGTGCGCGGCGCGAAGGCGAGAGCCACATAACGACCCGCCCTCCATCTGCGAAGTTCTTGCGAACTTTCAGAACGAGATTGTGCGGCGCTCAGGCGAGAGCTCTCCACCCGTGAAGGTTCCATACGTTTTTAGAAGATTGTGCGCTGCGCCGAGGCGCGAACAGCATTTACAAAAGAACACCCGCCCTTGATCCGTGAAGTTCTTCGAATTTGTTAGGACGAATGTGCGCTGTGGTCAGGCGAGAACCGCATTTTGGGAAAGGACCCGCCTTCCATCCGTGAGCTCTTGCGATTTTTTGAGACGGAGGTGCGCGGCACTGGGGCGATAATCGCATTTTGGAAAGGACCCGTTCTCCACCGGCCAAACTCCTGCAACCTGTTGAGACCAACGTGCGCGGCGTAGTGCGAGAACCACTTTTTGAAGACCGCCCTCCTTCCATCCATGAAACTGTTTGCGGATCAGAATTCGCGAGGAACTTTCAGGCGAAAGGCTGGAGTTGGAGGGGAGGTGAGAGGAGGGAGGGGAAGGGGAGATGTTTTGTCCGCCGCAGGCCAGTTCATGTTCAATGCACCTCAGGCCCCTCCGAGGGAAGAGGGTCCTGACTCCGCGACTGTGCACGCCGAGGAGGTAATGGGGATGCCGGAGAGCTGGCGTCCAGAAGAGCACGCATTCCTAGAAAGCGCGAGCGACAGCCAAGAGCGGTGGACAGGCGCAAACAAACATCTCGTGTGGACCTGACCAGGGCTGTGGCACCCCGGGAGGCCAGGACCAGACGGGGCCGGCAACTCCGACCTTGCGCGGGCAGTTCGGGGAAACGTTAACGGCCCATGCGCCAGACCACGGGCCTCCGCAAAACCTGGCGCCGCCCGCGTGGATGGCGACAGGCCTGGCCAGCTGGCCGCGGTTCGGGCGGCCAGGCCAGCGTGGCAAACGCGACCTCCAGGGAACAGAGGGGCGCGCGGGATGGGGGGCAGGAGACCGGCGCGCAGCCTGTGTAGCGTCATCCTCGGCAAAAGCTGAGCAGACGCTCGCGCGGCCAGTAAGGCGGTCAGCAGGTTGGGCAGTACCGCTCGCGGATGAAGCGCCGCGTGCAGCACGGGCCCGCGCGCCTGGAGGGGCGCGCAGGGGACAAGAAAGCAGACGGGGCAAGGCTTCGGGGGGTAAATTCCAGGCGCGCCAAAAGTTAGAGTTGTTAAGCTGTCGGCAGCAGGGCGCGCGCTAGTCCGAGTCACCTGACAGCTCGGTACTAGCACGGGCATGCTGCGCGAATGGGGAGGTCGGTGCCACCGGCGGGGCCTCGTCGTCATCCCTTTTGAGTCTATCCACCACCTGCCTCACAGTCCCAAGCTCCTGTGGCACAACGAACCACAGCTCGGCGGCAGACGAGGATCATCTAGGCAATGGTGGGCCCTTCCCAAAAGCCTCCGCTCCAGGGGGAGGGAGGAGAAGCCAGCGTGGAGGAACCGAGCCATTTCTTCCTCCACTTCAAAGTCGGGGGAGGGGCCTGGGCCGCCACTGGTCTGTCAAGGGTGCAAGTCAGCACTCGGGGTCATCGCGCGACGCTGGCCCATCATTCCAAGGGCCGCGCTCAACAGTGAGGTGGCTTAGCTTGGGATGTATGCCTCGACAGATCTGGGGCCGCGCGTACTTTGCCCCCGAGCTCTGCGGGCGCTTCTTATAGTTGGGCGGCAAAATCTTAGCTCGATCGTGGCAGCGGTGCGCTTTGCATTGAAGGCAGACCACCCGCGCAGTCGAGACAGAGCAAAATGGGGCAATGCGCTTTTGCTGGCGAGCCGACGAGAGGTCCACGTCGGGCTTGGACCTGCCCGAACCGTTGCCTGGCGCCGGTGGTGGTCCGGTGCCGAGGGGGCCACCTTCGAGAGTTGCTCGGGGGGGCTGGCCGCCCTTCCAGACAAGGAGGCAGATTTTGCAGTTTTGCATTCCTGAAAAGAGCCAATCTGCTGCCAGTCGCGTGGTCGCGCGGGCTTTCTGCCCGGGGCCGTTTCCTCCTCTTTGGCGGCCGCGGGGCCCAGGGCGTGCGTAGCTAAAACCCCCGCGGCCCCAGCACCGGCAAACTGCCCGTCTGAATGCTCGAGTTCTTCCAGGGGCGTTGAAGGGCGCGACGTCGCAGCAAGCTCGGCAGAGCCGTCGACATAATAATTACCTCGACGCAAGAAGCGATCGCCCGCATCCAGCGCCTCATCCACGTTTAAATGGGGGCGCAGCCGTGGCGCAGACGCTTGTGGCTGCTCTGTTGGGCCCGGAGCAAATTGGCACAGCTGACCGCGTTCTGGCAATCTGTGCGCGCAGTGGGGACTTGGGCGACGAATCGAGCAGCGACGCAGACGGCGCGGCAATCGGCACTCCGCGGGGGCCGCGGGCGCGGGGGCCGCGCTGGGCCTCGAAGCCGAATCATTTCCTCGCCAGAGGACGGACCGGGCACTGCGGCCGCCCGACCGGCGCGCGTGAGATTTGGAACGCGACGACGCAGGCTCGGAACAGCGGCGAAGATCTCGCTCGTGAAGTCCAGGTCGAAGTTGAGTTTCTCGCAGCCGTTGCGCGACTCCATGACCGCCCCTTCTTCAAAGCGAGGCCGGGGATCAGCCGGGCGAGGGGGGGGCTCCCTGGCGAGCGAGAGAGTTGCAGGCCTTCCCAGGGAGCGGGGGCGGGCTCGGGGGTGCATCTCAATGTGAAGATGAGATGCCCAGCGGGGGCCCAGTCTGATGGTGCCTCGGGGCTAGCGCCGGCGTATCCAATGTTTCGTAGTATTTCGACATGTCTGGTCAGAGATGTGCAGCCTCGCCCTCTCCGTCGGCGCCGCCCTCCGCAGGCGCGTCTCGTCGCCGCGCGACGTCTTGGGCCCCTCCGACTGGGCCCGCGTCGAAGTGGGGGCGCGTGGTTCGTCGATCCCAGTCGTCGGCGAGAGGTCGGCGAAGCCTGTCGTGCCTCTGGAACGCGCTGCAGAACCTCCCCATGGGCCGCGGCCCCGACGATGGTTTAGCGATGGGGGTTAAAATGATCGCGGCAGTTTGCGAAGGCATAATTGCCGACCTCTTCGCGCGTGCCAGGAGGTCACGCAGCGGGCGCAGGCGGGGCCCAGACATCAAGTTGATGCGTCCCACGTGAAAATTTCCGATGGAAACGGCCGGGTCGCCCCAAGGGCGCCCTCGAGATGGCGCGGATGCGTATCCGCGGGCTTGGGCGCGCGGTGTCGAGGGGGCCAGGCGCCCATTCCCAGACGTCCATGCGCTCTGCTTTTTTTGGGC